CCGTTCCTTATATGTTTTAGCCTCCAGTCCCCTAATCATCTTTGTTGCTCTTCTCTGTTGGAGGAGATTTGCTATGATCTTAATGGAAATTCACACTCATTTGTATACAATTCACTGGGTAATTCTGAGCTAGAGAGTATTTCTGGGTCCAATGTGGCTTATGTGAATTAAAAAATGGGAAAAGAATTGAAATTGAAATCATGTGAAAAAGAAAGTACACCCTCCTTGAGTTCTATGGTCTTATGTATTAGGACATAGTAAAAATCATCTGGTCCTGAGCAGTCCTTAAAAATAGGTAAATACAGCCTCAGATGAATAACAACACATGACATATTACATCGTGCCATCATTTATTTTACAAAAAGAAAGCCAAAATGGAGAAGCCATGTGTGAAAAGCTTTGATTTAATAACTTGTAGAACCACGTTTAGCAGCAATAACTTGAAGTAATTGTTTTTGTATGACTATCAGTCTGTCACATCATTGTGGAGAAATTTTGGCCTACTTTTCCTTACAACATTGCTTCAACTCATTGAGGTTTGTGGGCATTAGTTAATATACAGCTCTCTTGAGGTCCTGCCATAACATTTCAATTGAGTTGAGGTCTGAACTTTGGACTATTGGAACACCTTGATTATTTTCTTTTTTCAGCCATTCTGTTCTAGACTTGCTGGTGTGCTTGGGATCATTGTCCTATTGCATGATCCAATGTTGGTCCAGCTTTAGCTGTTGGAAAAATGGCCACACATTTGACTCTAGAATACTTTGGTATACAGAGAAGTTCATGGTCAACTCAACGACTGCAAGGTGTGGCTGCAAACCAAAGCCAAATCATCATTATTCCACCACTGTACTTGATAGTTGGTATAAGATGTTTGCTTTTCACCAAATGTAGCACTGTATTATGGCCAAACATCTCCCCTTTGGTCTTATCTGTCCAAAGGATACTCAGTCAATCCAAATAGAGCTGGAAGGGACCTTGGAGGTCTTCTAGTCCAACTCCCTGCTCAAAGAGGAGATCCTATACATTTTAGACAAGTGGCTGTTCAGTCTCTTCTTAGAAACCTCCAGTGATGAAGGAGGCACCCACAACTTCTGATGACAAGCTGTTCCACTAGTTAATTGTCCTTACTGTTAGGAAGTTTCTCCTTAATTCCAGGTTGCTTCTCTCCTTGATTAGTTTCCATCCATTGTTTCTTGTCCTGCCCTCTAGTGCTTTAGAAAATAAGTTGATCCTCTTTGTGGCAACCTCTCAAATGCTGGAATACTATTAATCATGTCCCCCCTAGTCCTTTTTTTCTTTAGACTAGCCAAACCCAAACCCTGCAATGGTTCTTCATATGTTTTAGCCTCCAGGCCTTTAATCGTCTTAGGGGCTCTTCTTTGCACTTTTTCCAAAGTTTCAACATCTTTTTTTGTAATGTGATGGCCCAAACTGGATGCAGTTTTCCAGGTATGGCCTTAACTAAGGCTTTATAAAGCAGTACTAATATACTTCACTTGATTTTGATTCTATGCCTCTATTTATACAACCAAGGATTGTATTAGTTTTTTTGGCTGCTGCCACACACTGCTGGTTCATATTTAAGTATTCCAGAAGTCTTGTAATTTGTTCAGATGTAACGTTGCAAACCGAAGCCATGCTGCCATGTTCTTTTTAGAGAGAAGAGGCTGTCTCCTGGTAATGTTTCCAAGCAAAAGAATACTTGTTCAATCTTTTTCTAATTTACCATCATGAACTTTAACATTTAACATGCTATAACTGAGGCCTGTAGAGTCTAAGATATTGGATTTTTTTGCAATTTTTCTGAGCATTGCACAATCTGACCTTGGAGCGAATTTGCTGAGGTGTCCACTTCTGGGAAGATTGGCAACTGTCTTGAATGTTTTCCACTTATGAATAATCTTTCTCACTGTAGAACGATGTACTTTAAATTGTTTGGAAATGGCCTTATAACTTTTCCCAGATTGATGAGCAGCTTCTCTAAGATCATTGCTGATGTCTTTCCTCTTTGGCATTGTGTTAACACACACCTCAATGCTGGAGACCAGGAAACTTCAGCTTGTATAGAGGTAATCACACTTGCTGATGATCAATTGATCAAGGGCACTTGATTAGCAGCACCTGGCTGGTACATAACCTATTCATACCTATGGAAGCAGTAAAGGTATACTTAGTTTTTCACACATGGCTTCTCCATTTTACTTTTCTTATTGTAAAATAAATGATGACATGGTGTAACATGTCATGTGTTGTTGCTGCTTTGAGGTTTATTTACCTACTTTTAAGAACTGCACAAGACCAGATGATTTTTGCTATGTCCTGATAATGTAAAACCACAAAACTCAAAGAGGGTGTACTTTCTTTTTCACATGACTGTATGCCATCTCCAGCTTAGGGGAAGAAGGTAACAAAATTATACATAAAGAAATGTGTCTGCCACACCCATTTTCTTCAGTAATATAAATTGATCTTAATGTTTTTGTATTGCTCCTGCCCCACTCTAGTTGGGATTTTAGACTGGATATGTATAGTGCGGTTTTGCTAGAGCGTGGCTAGTTAAGGCTTTCACCACAATCAGAGTATTTGTCACAAAATAAGTAGAGGCCGCAAGAATTCCAGAAATCTTTTGCCAACATTTGGAGATTGAGATCCACATGAATATAATTGTAAAGAACAGCTTTGCCTAAGGCAAAATGGGGTGAGATGCGACTGCCTTTCAATCAGAGCACACCTGCATATGATACATAACTGAGGTGTATCATATATATGTAACTGCCCAGATTTTCCTGGCATTTATTTTTATGTGATCAAACTTTGATTTGGGGAAAGCAGTTAGCAAGAGACCCACATATCAGCAGCACTGGTTCAATTTCTTCTGATCCTTGAACAATCCTCTATCTTCTACTTCATCTGCTGCTTCCTTAAATTTATCTCTAGTTCTAGCTATCCTATTTTTTCTTACATAAACCCATCCTTGCCAGCTCACTGTTTCCCTTCCTTCATCTGCCCTATTTCCTTCTTGCTCGTAACTTTGTATAAATGTTTTTCACAGCCAAAACAATATTTTCATAAAAGCTACTGTTTATTATTTCATTCTCTTGGTAATGGTTTTGCTTGTGTCTATTCCCTGGTATTGTTGAGGTACGCTAACATTAAGAGTAGGAGGAAGAGATTATAAACCACACCTACATATAATGTTCTAGAATATCTCTGGAACAGAAAGGATATATTACTTTAGTGGGAGGCCCTCATGTAACAGATGTCATCCACACAATTTATATCCCTCTTTTTGAATTCCCAATTTGTGAGTTCCTGCTTTATTGGCATTAATACAGGACACTTAGGTTTTCTGTTACTCAAAAATACTGGGGGGGGGTACTCTGTTCTGCAAAGTAATGGGATATTATATATGCAAAAGCTTGTATTGTGAGATTTTTTGATACTGGGAAATATTTGGTAACATCAAAGCTCTTAACATAGAATCCTGTTGGTATTCCAATTTTACTCAAACAGGCTTCCTTATGCAAATAGTGACTTGCCCAATGTAGTCACTTGAGTTTCACGATCATAAGCTGAAATGTTGATTTTTCTACTCACAAAGACAAACCCAACTAAAATGTTCATCTACATCTCACAAGTTTTTCTTTAGAAAATTCAGTGGAATAAGTTTTGATGGGTCTGATTAAACGTTGTCACAAATTATCACTGCAACTAAGACAACTGGAGATACTGTCTTTTCCTACATATCTTTTAATATTTGCATGAGATGGAGAATAATAAAAGGTGATACATCTTGGCTTATCTTGCTTTGTTATTCACATCTGCTTCCTACTTCTGCCTGGTTTGAACTTGTCTGCAGCAAATATAAAATTGTTATGGAAAGTGGAAATCAAAGACTGGAATACTCTCTTGAATTGACAAACATTTCCCAATTGCAATCTGAAAATATTTTATTTGGATGTCTTTCTTCCAGTTTTCTTACTGCTGAAGTCCTCCTGCTTTGACAACTCAGGAAATATTGGTCAAAGATCCACTGCAGATAAAATTCATGCCAGCTTTCTATAAATCACTTATTTTGTGACAATAAATTAAAGATTGTCAGGCTGTGTCACATCAGCATTTAAAATGTTTTCATTTTTCTCTGCAGTCTCTAGAGAACATCAGGGCAAAATGTTATTTATTTATTGAAAGAACAGCCTGATTGCAAATTTACAGTTTAAAAAGAAGGAAAAGAGATGTTGAGGAAAGTGGAAAAAAGCAGCCAGGTATCCATTACATGAAATAGTACTGTAGTACTGAAATCATATGGTTCAGGGAAGAGACTGATGGACTTGATCTTTCGGGGCAGTTGATAACTCTCCATGTATGTCTTTGTTGCTGCTGGACAATAGTTGACAAAGGAGTCTAGTGGAGCTGGTTTCCAAAAAATATGTAGGTAGCCATGCTTCTGCTTTTAAAGTCATGCTGGACCTAAGTTCCACCTGGAAACAATCCTTGCACTCTACTGGAAGACCTATGCCCAATAGGTGAAGGCTTCCTCAATTCTGTAGTAGCAAAGAAACTACACTGTAAACAATTTCATGGACACTTAGTTTTATTCCACATACATCTGAGGGTTTAAGATAACTATAGAACAAATTAAGTTATGGGGGAATATGTGGATAAAAAATCATATTTATCAAATACTGGCCTAGTGTGCTCGCCATTCTAAGCCATATTTTGAACATTATAGTTTACAGAATGTATCACTGTTGGTTAGGTCAAACAACACAGAGACCAAATGTGAACTAATCATATTGTAATATGAGCACAGTCATTATTAATTTTAAAGCAGCCTCAGCCTTTGTTGATAAAACACTTATCTTTCTTCTATCATAACTTCCACCACCCTCTTTGTTGCAGCTGATGCATCTACCGAACAAAGGTGACATGTCAATTTGGCTCTCACTGGCTGTTCCATCACCAGTCAAGGATTAAAGCATGTGATCAGGAGCACCATGGAGGTGAGTGGCTTGAATCATAAAACCAGGGATGAATATAACAGGATGGGGAACTCCTTAAATCATGTCCCCCTCCTCCCTAGAGTATTATCAAAGTATAATCTTCTAAGCTCTGTAATGGTCCAATTTCTCTTATCCTCCTCTCAGCTCCCCCTTGGTTAAATATTGAATTTCAAAATCCATTGAAACTAGAAAAAGAAACACTTTTAATAGGGGCAAGATGGAGAAGATGTATTTATGTATTATTGATTTTAATTATTACATCCTACTTTTATGGATACACTTCTTTCCAAGGTGGTTAACAACTAGATTACTATCACATATTCAAACAAAGAGCAGACAACTTAACAGAATACTGCCATTGCAATTCATAGCCAGCAAGTACAGAAGCTTTTTTCAACTTGCCTGCCACAAGCTTCTTCTCATGTCGGAGACAGACTGGCAGAGGAACCAAGCGAAGAATTAGTCTGGAATCTCTAAGTATGCACAAGAGGGCAAGGTCTGACTCCGCTTGAATGCCATTGAACCTTATGTAGCCTGGCCTAAGTGCAAACTGCCAGTCTGAGAATATTCTTGTGTTATAGGCATGAGCAATAAAACAGCTAATTGAACTGTTCATGTGTGGATCTGACTGTTCACGCCTGACACATAGAACTCTTGGCATAGGAATTTTCATGGATAACAAGCAAGAAACAGAAGTCCCATCTCCACTGAAGAACTCTTGAACGTAATGGGGCAATTTCAGTCTATTCAACTCAGTGAAAATAAAAGGAGGGAGGAGCAAGAAATCCCAACAATATTTCTCTAATATTAATTTTACTATACGCCTAAAATGATTCATGAGGTTTGCCTTTGAGGCAGATTTTACAATCCCATTAAATTTGTTTTGCACTTTAGTTTTGTATGTGTCTCTCTATTTTGTTCCACTTACTGGTCTGAAGGGATCTTACCCGTTCTTTGGTTCACAACCATGTTTTACTGTCTTATCACAGGATATAATCCCCCAAATTCAATCATGGTTTTGTTGACACACAGATTTATAAGTGCTGATTGGTTTTTCAAAATGCTCTTAGTGAAGGAAATTTGGACACCTGCTTTTGGGAGTCTCCATTTTCCTATTTCCCCTAACAATTAAGCAAAGCTTTTGCTTTCCAGTCATAAGAAAGAAAGTTATTTGGCTGCTTTTCTCTCAGCCTCTGCTTTGTAAAATGCTGACTGGAAAAGTTGCTGGTTAAGGATAGAAGGGTTTCTGTTTGTTTTGTACAAAGACCGCATGCGAGCCACCAGTTTGCAAACTGCATTGTGGGAAATCCAGAACTCTGTCTCATTCTTCAAGGATATTAATGTTATTCTTCTTTTCCTGGACCAACAAGCTGTTATGCTATATCATTGACTGAAAATCAGACTTAGGAAAAGAAATGATTCAGTAGAAAGGTTCTAACTTTCTTCTTTCCCCCTTCCTTCCTGCAGGGTGCAGATTACCAGTTGCCTTCTGCCAACTCAGCCAGTGTTGCCCTTCCTTCTCCTTCTTCCTCTTCCAGTGATGAAGCTGACATTATGGCTTTCAATGGGGAGCTGGACTTACAACATTACTCTAATGGACCAGGGGGGGGCGGAGGGGAGGCTCGTCCTTATCCCTGCCCTATCTGTGGCAAGCGTTTCCGCTTCAACAGCATCCTGGCATTGCACACTCGCATCCACACCAGCTCCTATCCACTCACTTGTCCCTACTGTGGCCACCAGGCAGGGCAGCGTGCCAGTTTACGTCTCCACCTACGCTCCCATTGTCCTGAGGCCCACACCCGGCTCAGTCACCAGAGCCGCTTGCTGCTTGAATTGGAAGAGCGGGCACTTCTGCGGGGTCAAGAAGAGGAAAAGGAGGAGGAGGAGGAGGAGGAGGAGGAGGAAGAAGAAGAAGAAGAAGAAGAGATGGTTGCTCCTATTCCACCCCAACCTCTACCCACCTTTCACTGCTCTTTCTGCAAGGGCAAGTTTCGTACTGCAGGAGAGCGTGAGCGCCACCTTCGCATCCTCCATCAGCCGTACAAATGTGGGCAATGTTCTTTCGCTGCCACACAGGAGCCAGAATTGCAGTGGCACAACCAACAGGTTCATAACTCCCCAGCAACTTGGACACCCACCCCTCCTGCCCCTGTGCCCACCACTACAGTTCCACCCACCCCTCCTGCTTCCACACCCACTCCTTCCTCCTCTGCCTCCACCCCTACGGAGTTCCGCTGCCAGGTCTGTGGTCAAGCCTTCACCCAGTCCTGGTTCCTTAAGGGTCACATGCGGAAGCACAAAGACTCCTTTGACCATAAGTGCCAGGTGTGTGGGCGTGGCTTCAAGGAACCATGGTTCCTGAAAAACCACATGAAGGTTCATCTCAGCAAGTTGGGCCTCCAGGGTGAACAAAGAGGACCAGGACCAGGTCGGTCAGCGCAGAGCTTACTCGTGGGTTGTGAGGCCCTGTATCCATCTCTCCTTTCTCCTCGCCCCACAGACAAAGCCAGTACAGGCAGTTTCCTGGGTTACAGTGATGCAAGCTGTGCTGAACGACTGCAGGCCACAGCTCGCGCCGTGGAGAGTAGTCAGCAGTGGAGGGAACGTTCTTATGTAGTAGGGTCCAAGCTTGTGAGAGAAGACTCAGGAGGGAACCATCGCTGCCCAGACTGTAACCGGACCTTTGGTACATTCCAGCAGATGGCCTTGCATCGGCAAAGCCACCTCACCCGTGAGAGAGAATGGAACAAGGGACAGTCACTGGGTTCTCACCTTCTCAGTGGACATTGGCTTCCAACAAATGTGAGAGCTTCTACTGCAGCCAACACCAGCTCAGCTCTGCTCACCCAGAAGGAAAAAGGCAAGTACAGACGAAGTCCATACCACACTTAGCAATTCTCCAGCATGAGGGATGGATAATCCACATGATTGGGTTTCCTGAAGTCCCTTGTACCCAATAAGACTAAGTCTGAGATAGCCACGCCTCCTGCCTGGTCGCACATGCCCAGTTCCGACTTAGTCTTCTACCCAGACAAGGCGTGTTGGTTCTTCTCTCCAGACTCAGGTTTTATTAAAGTATTTTCCCTCTCAGTAGATTATCTCTCCCTTCTCCCTTAAATCCCTCACTGTTTGTTTCTTCATTCCCCCCATCCCTCCGGTGCTTTCTACCGTTGTTTAATTTTGAGATTGTGTTCCTTTTCCCTTGGCAAAGGTATTAAGGGATTAGAGGGGTTTTTGTTTCATTTTTAGTAGATCCCTGCTTTTTTTTTTTTTCCTTTGTTGTGGCTTTCGGAGCTTGGGGGTTGTGGAGTCTTTTCTTCGCTCGCCCCAGCTGATCGGCGGCTCTCCGCGGAGGCTTGGGGTGCTGGCAAACTCAGCTGAAAGGGAGCCTTTCGTTTGGGTGGCTTTTTCTGCTGCCGAAAAATTTATTTGGGAGCGTGATCGTTTTGGGGGAGTGTGGAACGGCCGCGGAAGCCCCAAAACTGCTGCAGATTGCCCTAGCCTCCTAAAAGAGTGGAATCACTTTCTGTTCACTGGTTGCTTCTTGAGTCACGTGGTGTGGCGGCCACCATTTTCTCCTTCGTTTTTGGTTGCTGCTTGTGTCACGTGGCCGGTGTCCGCCATTTTATCATTGAGGCCTGCACTGCAGGACAGGCACACAGCGTCGGTTGGATCACCACGTGTCTGGCGGCCGCCATTTTGTCATCGGCCTATTTCATTGTTCTTGCACAACTCCTTCATCATTAATAACACAGGAGTTTCCAAATCAAAACAAAATTTCTGTTACTGCCTGTGGCTGGTTTTCTCTTTCCACCCCCCCCCCTTTATTCTGGAAAGAAAACATTGCTCCTGACAAGGTATAGAGTTTATTTTCAATAGCATTTTTATCTGTTCTCATTGGGAGTTGGTCTCCCCTTGCCTACCACTAAGTCCTAATCACAACATACTGTGTCATACAGGGATTTTCTCCACGGAGCTATACACTGGTCTTACCAGTTCTGAAAATTCTTATTGGGCCTCAGCTCCTAGCCTGTTTCTGACCCACCCTCAGACTTGTTCTGAAGGGTCTCAGGTCTAACCTATTCATAGGTCACCAGGTTTATCTTCCAGCCTGCATCAGCCTGGTCATCCCACCCTCAGTCTTGTGCTGAAGGGATATAGGCTGACACTCCTTGGCAGGGGGGCCGCTTTTGGTTCTGTCCAGCCTTTGCTACCTGGTTATCCCACCCTCAGACTTGCGCTGAAGGGATTCAGGTTTCTAGCAAGGAGTCCATACTGGTTTTCCAGTTCCTCTGTTCTCATTGCCTGCTACAACCCACCTTCAGACTTGTGCTGAAGGGTTCTCAGGTCACAATACCTCTCACAAGTTTTAAAAAACAAGGGTGTTCCACAGGTTTTTCTTCCTGTTTTTTCACTCAAAACTGTTTCTTGCTACCCCTTTTTCAGTCTTCACTATAGGAGAGCAATGGCGGAAGAGACACAGCCTGACCTGGTTCTGGTGCCAACCAGCCCTCCAGCTAAAAGGAGGCGCAAATCGCCAAAAACTGAAGTATCTGGCAAGCTCAAGGCCAGGGCAAAAGCTTTATCCAGTAAAGCTCCATCCAAAAGGGCTGAAAAGGAGGCTGCCAGGAGACATCAGGCCCTAGAGAGGCAGATATCCAGAGCTCAAAAGGCAGTTTCACCACAACAGGTACCGGTTGTTCCTGAACCTCCTGGGACTTCTCCGTTCAGCCCCCAGGTAACTATAATTGCACAGGTACACAGGCCATTGTCTCCTGAGGGCGGTTCTCAATCTCTTAACGGTTGGTTCCATGCCACCCAATCCAAATCCGTCATGGGGGGCTACTCAAATTACCCCTCATCATTCTCCATCGGCTACGTTCACGCCCACGGCCGCCGGTCTCCGTACCGAGCAGTCACAGACGATGGCATCGGAACAATTACAATCTATGCTCACACAGGTTTTAGACTGTCTTTCTTCTCTTCAGAGATCTCAACACTCTACACCTTCCCAACATAAATCCACCACTCCGGATTACGTTTGTTCTATACCTTCCGACCATTCCTCACAGAGTGAAGACTCTTATTCTGACATTAAGGAATCACGGGGAGCAGCCTTATCAGAGGATGAAGGGGATCCTCAAGAGTCATCTTCTTTTGTGGGGCTCTTTGATCCCGCCCTGTTCAAAACTATTCTAACCAAGGCCACAGCTACATCTCAGATAGCGCCAGAGCCTGACCCAGATCCTACCCCTTCCACCAGTCAAACTGCAAATCCTTTGTTTGCTGAACCCACGATAACCCAAAGACACATTCCCTGTCCTCCCATTTTTACCAATACTGTAAAAAAGCAGTGGACTAATCTGGGTCTCTCCCCGGCACCTGGGTCCTCCGACAAGAAACTGTTCTGCGTGGCACCATCCCTAACCAACCTTTTAGAGGTTCCCTCCGCTGACACATCCCTCACGCCTATCTTTTCCAAAACCATTATCGCTGGGGATATGGCGGAGGCACTAAAGCCAGAGGACAGAAAATCGGAGTACTCTCTAAGGAGAGCACATCAGGAGTCAGGGTGGGCGGTAAAAGTGTCCACGTCGGCCTCTTTCTTTTCTCGTTCCTCTATCACTTGGCTCCAGGAGCTTCAGGATTTGATTCCACAGGATCAAGTTCGCGCCCATCAGACATTGGGAAAATTGTAGCGGCTGTTGAGTACACAGCAGATGCTACGCTACATGCCGCCCGTTTTTCAGCCAGAGCAATAGCAGCTAATATCTCTGCTAGGCGCCTACTTTGGCTTAAGCAATGGAAGGCGGATTTGAAATCTAAGGATCGTTTGTCCACTGCTCCTTATGCTGGTGGAAAACTGTTTGGAGAAGCCCTGGAGCCATACTTGGTAGAGAATAAGGACAAGAAAAAGGTTTTGGCCCACCAAGCAGGCGAGCAGATAGAAAGCCTACCCCCTTTTATCGCCGTCAGGGATTCAGAGGCAATACCCAGGGCTCCACTTGGTCTCAACCAGCACATTCCTTTACTCCGAAATCAGACCGGCAGGCGGAACGTTTTGGAAACAAGCCTAGGCAACAACAACAATCTAGGCGGCCCTTTCGAGGGGCGGGGGGCCGTCCCTATCGGAGGAATAAGTGACTCCGGGGAGGGACCCCCCATAGGCGGTTGCCTCTCCCTGTTCTCTCGGAGTTGGTGGGACACTACTACAGACGCCTGGGTCTTGTCCACCGTTACCCAGGGTCTGACTTTAGAATTCTTCGCAAAACCGGCAAACCGTTTCAGCTCTTGCCCAACACCTTCAAACCCGTCAAAGCGGGTCCTTATGAAGGAGGCCATTACCCATCTTCTCACAATAAGAGCAATAGAACCGGTCCCTCCCGATCAATGGGGACGAGGTTTTTATTCAATCCTATTCATAGTTCCGAAGGCCTCGGGAGGATGGAGGGCCATTCTGGATTAAACGATTAAACTCTTATCTGATATACAAAAAATTCAAAATTCAAACACTGCATTCCATTCTGGCCAGCATACGGAAGAACGACCTCCTCACATCCATCGACCTCAAGGAGGCGTATCTTCACATTCCAATTTTTCAACCACATCGCAGATTTCTCAGATTCTGCTACAGATCTTATCATTATCAATACAGAGCACTTCCATTTGGCCTTTCATCCGCCCCGAGGGTCTTCACAAAGATCCTGTAGGTCCTGGCAGCCCACCTCAGACTAGAATCCATTCGGATCCAGTGTTATCTGGATGACATCCTCATACAATCAGGGTCGGTCCAGACTGTACGGTCAGAGGTGGCCCGCACAATAGAGATACTCCAGGATCACGGATTCTTGGTGAATTTCCCCAAATGCCAGCTGACTCCGTCCACACGGCTTCTTCATCTCGGAGCAGTAATAGATACGACTCAATGCATGATCTATCTTTCACCGGACCGCATAGCCAGTCTCAGGGCCCTTGTCCGCCTGGTGCAAGGCACCAGGTCGGTCTCACTCCTCACTCTCTCACAACTCTTAGGCAAGATGATCTCCTGCATTGCCATCGTACCCTGGTGCAGACTTCATTCAAGAGCCCTGCAATGGTTCCTCCTTCCCTTTCAGAGAAGGAAGTTAACATCCTCCAACATATTGGTGCGATTGACTCCTCTAGTAGAACACTGGTGGCGTTCTCGAGCCATCAACAAGGGCTCGAAATTCAGAGAACAGTCAAGGATAGTGTTTACCACGGATGCCAGCCTTTTCGGCTGGGGGGCTCACCTCCAGTCTCAAATTGCCCAGGGGAGATGGTCCAAGGAGGATCTATCGCACAATATAAATTGGCTGGAACTGAGGGCAATTCATCTGGCGTTGTGTCACTTCAGACACAAGGTGAGAGGTCAGCACGTTCTTGTCCTCACGGACAACATTGCGGCCAAAGCACATGTGAACCGTCGGGGGCACCAGATCGAGCTCTCTGATGGCAGAGGCCAGACTGCTCTGCTCTTGGGCAGAGGCCAACCTGTTATCGATAAAAGCGGATCACATCTCGGGGGAGGTCAACCTGCAGGCAGATGCTCTCAGCAGAGTGACGGTGGATCATTCAGAGTGGCGACTGGATCCAGACCTGTTCTCAGCCATATCTTGCAGAGTAGGACACCCAGTCCTAGACTTGTTCGCCTTGGCGAACAACTCCCAATTTCCAAGGTTTTTCTCCCGTTTTCAGTCTCCAAGGGTGGAGGGAGTGGACGCCCTGCACATCCCGTGGCCCCGGGGTCTTCTTTATGCTTTCCCTCCGCTTCCCATACTTCCAGCTGTCATCCTCAAGATTCTGTGAGAGAGGGCGGAGGTCGTTCTCATAGCCCCCCAT